GTTGTTGGTATCTTCTTAAACTCGGGACTCGGAGTTAGCGGTGGCTTTCCATTTATGTGAGCGAAATTATTGATGACTTCCTATTCATGTCAATATAGGCTCTCAATTTTTAGAAACTCACCTATTTTGTCGGTATAAGATTGTGTTTACAAAAGATTAGCCAAAATTTCAATCTCCCTTCCAACTTTCCCTTTTTGAGCATAGGTATGGATATTGATCTTTGATCGGTTTGAACCTCGAATTACTTTGCTATTTCATCATAACAAATTAAACTCACTCAAACGAGCACAAAAGCATAACATAACAAAAATCGGACTTTTATTTTCACATGCATTCAATACAACTCGCCTCGGGTAGGACGGGATAATGATGATGTTATATCTTTCTTATACGTAATCGATCCTTTACCATATATCTATGCGAGGCTAGTTTGCTTAGCTTTTCATAATTCTTCCTAATTAGCTAGGCGACGATTTTTGTTCTTAAGCATCCAAAGTCTATTGAGTATGGTCATGGTGAGTAAAGAACAAAACAAATACTAAAATCATTGGTTTTATTAAAAATTAACAACACATCTACACACATAATACCAACCATTTCATATTAATTATTTTTAATATTTTAAAATTAATTTATTTCAAATAAAATAATTAAAATAATATTTTAAAAGAACCATTAAATAATTCAAATACATCGTATTATACTATTATTATTGATTGTTTTGTAAATAAATATTTATAAATCAAATTTATATATTTTCAAAAAGTTTTTTTAAAAAATATTTAGTTAATTTTAATAAAAAATTTTATATTGATTATTGCTCTTTTCTTCGATTTAATTTTATGAATAAAAATTTATATTAATTTTTTTATTTATATTATTATAGATTTTTATTTAAAAACAAATGCATAACAAATAATGAATTATGTTTTTTTAATAGCGAAATCTATTAAAAATAAAGATGAATGAATGAAATAAAAAAATGATTAAAAATTATAAAATTAGATGAAATTTTATTTTTAATTTTTAATTTAATATATTTTAATAGATCGATAATAAAATACATGCTATTAAACTCGAAATAAATATGTTTAGTTTGCCTCATTATGTAGTGCGAGAATTTGACTAATAGTTAGTAAATTACCTTCCTCAACCATTGAAATGCACTTCTTGTTTCATTGTGCACCACCCTCTACCCAAAGCAGAGTTGATGAAGGTAATTTCTTAATTATAAGGTTATGCCTTTCTATATAATGAAACAACAAATGCATTTTAGTGGTTGATGAAAGTAATTTCTTAAGGAAAAATTACCCCGAACATCCTTAATTAGTGTCTATAACACTTTGTTTTCCCATTTTTGCGTATCTATATTAATGGTTAAGAAACTATCATGTGGCAATCCATTTTGTATGCATCAACATTTCATGCTTTTAAATGATTGTGAGTACTAAAAAAAAAAAAAATCAAAGCTTGAGCATTGAAATAGAAGAATTTATTGATTGAACATTAAAACAAAAAAGGAAAATTAAAAGTTAGGCACCAAAACTCCAGCTTATCTCTTTAATAAATCCCCCCAAGCTATAAGCATATAATAAATAACTAGAGGCCTAATTAAAGTGGTGTTAGGATTTTTTTTTGTCGGCCATATTGAAGAGGATTTTGTAACGAAAGGGTAAAAAAATGGTCGGAAAGCGGTTTTAGTACATTTTGATTTCAAACTCATAGGTAGATAAACTAAATTAACTATGTTAAATGTACTAGTACTAGTTCTAATTATGTTTTTGGTATTTTGTCTTAGAAAAAAAAGTCAATTAAACATGTTGTAGTCAATCTAAAAATCCTCGTCGAGAATTCACAACCTACCCAAGTTGGTTGGACTATAGGATTGTAAGGACAATAATTCGTACCAATAGCCGATCTAAATCACAAATTTAATTTTCTATACTAATATACAATCAAATAACAAATTTAAACTAGAAACTAAAAGATTAAATGATCAAAATACCGAGAAAGAAGGATTGCAATATTGATAATAACTTAGAAATTACAAACTTAAAACCTTCATCGGTAATTGAAAAATAATGTTGTAGTCTTTACAATGCTTCAATCTAAGAAGAACAAACTTACATTCATAGAAAATTATAAATACTCACATGTTGATACTCTAGACATAAAACTTTTTAAAAGAACTGTGGATCACAATTGCTACAAACATGAGACGAGAACAAAAAATCAGCTACTAGCCTCCAAATTATTAGCCTACTTAATTGTTGTCTACGTATTACCGACTACGGATTATTGTCTATTAGCTAGTTACAGACTTAACAAGTTTCAAGTATATTAAAACCTAGAGAAATGCTCCTAGAATTGATCGTAATTTGCAAGAATTTTGCTTATTTGTTGTATTGTTGTTTGTTTTCTCCTTCTGCTGCTGACTAATATTTATAGGCTTCATGTTCTTTCAAGATCACCCGTAGTGGTCCACTTTCTTTTGTATTCGTCGAGTCTTTGTTTTGTTTCATATTCTTCCTTCATCTTCTTTCCTTACGATGTAATACATCATGTTTTTTATTCTATTCCGCTTGTTGCTCCGAAACTTCATGCTCGCTTCATATAACACTCTATTCCCGAGGCAACATGACCTCTTTCTTGTTCAAACTGTAAAGGATTCAATAAAAATTAATTAGAGATGCCATGATTATTATGGCAAATTAAGTTAATTTTAAACAACATTGCAATTGGGATTCTCTCTATTTATTCGGTTCTTCAAATTAAAACAAAACAAAACTCATACCTTGTGAGATACGATGTCATCCATAAGCCTGCATATGATTGATGCAGCTCTAACAATCTTAGGATCATTGCATAGCCAATTAAAGGCTTCTTCTGTTACCATATCTCCCATCCCAACAAAACATGTGCATGTAAGCAAGTGATAGCCAGTGGAAATCAATGAGATCCGCATATACTCATCCATTGTTGGAATGTAATTATCATGGAACCATTTGGCTTCAACAAAATAGGCTTGGACTTGTTTCTTCATCTGAAACATACAAGAAGAATCACTGCTGTGACAAAATTGACTTGTACTTACATTTATTGAAAAATAATCCAGTAAAAATGTTATTAGAAACTATTAAAAGTTTGAGTTATTATGTAAGGTTTTACAAATAATTCTATATTGCTCTTTAACAAGCTTTTTTCAGTGAAAGCCTTTAAAATTTGAAATTTATACATACCTACTACTATATTGTTAGAGAGTATATAATCCAGTAAAAATGTTATTAGAAACTATTAAAAGTTTGAGTTATTATGTAAGGTTTTACAAATAATTCTATATTGCTCTTTAACAAGCTTTTTTCGGTGAAAGCCTTTAAAATTTGAAATTTATAGATACCTACTACTATATTGTTAGAGAGTATATATATATACATACCTACTACTATATTGTTAGAGAGTATATATATATATATATATATATATATATATATATATATATTAAAGTCTAGTTTTTGAATTGAAATGGTTTTTAATATAGTATCGGAGACTTAATAACCAAATAATTATGAGTTTGATTCTTTTTAATGGAAACATATTTTTCAATGGATTGAAAACAATTTCAATTGATCAATTATGCAGACTATTTCAGATTGCTTCTGAAATTTGAATATTTTTACAATGAATTTTTACAAGCTTTAATTTTTAATTTTTTTTTAAATAAAGGTAGCTAAAAATTATTAAACTCTCAGGTGGTTATCTTGACTGTCCTAAAAATTTTATCTCTGTTATTTAAAAAACAATTGTAGGTAGATAAAAATTATTAAACTTTGAGGATTTTATTTTGATCGCTTTAAAGATTTCGCCTCTATAATCTTCTTTTAGATATGTACATATATACCGATTCTTTTGCATATTGAACCCTGTATGATCTTCCTTGCTCAGTCATCTCTTTCTCAATTTCTTCATAAACGTCCAAGAGTGCTTTATAAAAGAGTTTCATGTATTCTGGGAGATGATTGATGCTGTTGATATCCGGCCACCTGAAATTAAAATATTAATTAAAGGATTTCATATTTAGTTATATATAATATTCAATTAAACTTCTTTTGATGAATGTTCTTAACACATATACTAGCTAGTTTTGTGAACCAAACCTCTCAATTGCATCTGTGAAGAGTTCAAGTTCTTCCATTGTACGATATACATCATATACATCATCCATAATTGATGTCATGGCAATTACTTTAGTCAAAATCCTTCTGGCAGAGGAGTATTGGGGCTCAAAGAACACTCCCAATATCCAAAAGTAACCTTCTACTATTCTGTCCCTTGCAAATGGTAGCTTCTTTGAAAAGTCCAATTCTTTCCACCACCTAAATGACAATAAGAAAAATCACGTCTATTTTCAATAAATTAATTAAATTTCCGACACAAAAAGAAAAGAAAAGAAAAAAGCCAATAATAACTAATAGAGGCTTAATTAAGATGGTCACACAACTTACATTGATATGTCGGAAAGTTCTTTTCGGTGCATATTTTGTAGTATGTTGAAATTTAATTTTGCAAATTGTAGGAGAGATTCACTGTATGAAGCTTCTTGCTCATAAATAGAAATGTAATGCTTTGCCTCTACCCATGGTAGGCCCTTGCGGATGGGTCGATTCAAGGCATGTCTTACTTGCAGCAAAAGTGAAGGGCTGATCATATCTGTTGCCATTATTGATTTGAGATGAGTGGTAGCAAAGATAAGTGCTTCCTCTAGTATATCTTCTCCGTGAACCCTGAGATGTGTAGCTTCATACAAGCTTAGCATTCCTTGAATATCATTAGTCAGGCAACTCTTGAAGTTACCTTGAGCATCCTTGAACTTCTTGAACACATCTGTACTCATGTACCAATTAAATGGTCTGTACATTTCTTCATTTCATACCTCATTTGGGAAAAAATGAAAAAAGAAAGGAAATTAAGAAATAAACTAGGTAGAAGTGGAATGTACTTACCACTTGAAATATTATGTCCTTGCTGTCTAAGCAATCGAAATCGGAGAGCGACCATTTGAAGGTCATGAACATCTATGTCTTGATCATCACTTCGATCATAAAATTGATGCAACATTTCATCGATCTCACTTTCAAAATGATAAGCCACTCCCAAACGTTGGATTAGATCAATAAACTTCAGTTGATTTGAAAGGTTGTTGGGAGTGGCAAATAGCATTTGAAAGATTTACAGCCCTAATGAGTGGAAGTAACCATATTAATATATTGGTGGATTGGAAACTAGTCTGATTGGTGTTTAAGAAGCAAATGGAAAGATAGTTTTAACAGATTTGACATGGCATGAAACGAATAATTTGGAGGTTGAGGTGGCATAGCAGAAGCACGCACTTTGTCTTAGAAAGTATCCTAGAAAGGCACAAGGTTTAGAGCAAGAGTCTAGTTTACGAGAGGAATAAGGGCAAAGCAAGGGGTAGAAAAGGCAACCAAAGACTAACAGTTTGGAGTAGTTGGGGGAGGAACGAAAGATACATTCATAGGATGAACAAAGATCCAAGGTTGGTGTGGGCATCCTATTGATTAGTTAAATAGTAATGGTAAATGCATGAGGCCAAAAACTAAGTGGAACCAACGTATGAGATAGAAGTGTAAGAACTATTTCAAATATATGACGATGATGACATTCAGAAAAGCCATTATGTTCTCAAGTGTGAGGGGGTGTGGTGAGATGTGAAATACCATTAGCAGCTAAGCAAGATGCAAGACTTAGATATTCACCACTATTATTAGGGTCAAGTTTGATAATTTTGCGAGAAAGATGGTTTTCAACAATGTTTTTAAAACATATGAAAACATCATGCAAATTAGATTTCTGTTTGATAGGATATAGCCAACTATATTTAGTGAAATAATCAACAAATAAAACATATTATTTAAAATCATAATAAGAATAAATAGGTGATGTCCTTATATCACTAAAAATAATGTCAAGAGGTCTGGAAGAAACTAGAGTATTGGTTGAGAAGGATAACCTATGACTTTTGTTACAATTGACAAGCATTATTGGAAAAGTTTTTTGTAAGAGCAGATGACAAGCTTAACTTATAATGATAGACAATATGTTTTAGAATAGAAATAGTAGGGTGACCTGGTTATGTCATGCAGACGGGGTGGTTGTAGTGCTGGAAAAAGCAATCAGAGGGGTGTGGTTGGGGATATCCTTCTTTCTACAAGCCCATTAAAAATGACTCACTCTGATTTATTTTTATTTTTATTTTTTTCTCACATTACAACCAGAAGTGCTATAAAAAATAAAAATAAAAAATAAAAAAACTGGCAGAATCTCTTCAAACATTTTTAACGTGCATGTTCGCGATAGTTAAGTGATGTAATCCTGTGAGAAATGCTTGATCACAAACAGCCCGGGAAAAGGACGAGACCACAAATTATGTAATCCTGTGAAATGCTTGACCACACATGCAGTAGCATGTGACTCCATTCATTGTCTTTTAATTTACTAATTTATTTTATTTCATGTTATTTAAAAAAAAAATGAAAAGAGGATGTTCCATTCATGGCCTTGGAGCACTAATTACGGCTCAAATAGGGATTTATCTTAAATCTCAAAACATATAAATCTTAAAACATGTTATTTTATCGATAATACATACATTGATCAATTCATCCAAATTAAGAATAGAAAGAAAATTTTAAAAAAAATCTAAAAAAAATTAATAATCCAAACTTTTTTTTAATTATTTTATTAACAACTGAAATTTTTAAATAATCATATTTTTTAAAAAAATTTTAATGATTTTATAATATTTATTTATTACTTTAACCTTAAAAGTAGAAAAACACTGGTTAAAATTTTTTTTAAAAAATTGACACATGTCATCACTAAATTAGCTAGATGCTAGTCAACTAATAAAAATTGATCAATTTGATAGAAAAATTAATGGAGAGATTTTTGTTCATTCTGATTAATATATAGATAGAAGGTTTATAATGACGTTTTCAAACTAGTTTAACGGATCTACAACTCGTATAAATGTTTGCATGATTTATTGGGATGAAGACAAGTGAGAGAATTACTTATAAAATTCGTGACCATCCTCGATATCGAAGTCTTAGGAAGGGGACCGATTAGAGAAACATATATTTCGTATGCAAAAAAAAATTATTTTCCTCTAACCTCATAATTACGGAGGATGTATGCATCAACTACTATAGCTAGTGACATGAGGTGGTATGCTAAACGTGAATTTGAGGCAAACCTCATGCGTCATTATTCGACTCCTTTGTATGACGGCATTTCGATCAAACACATTCTTCTTCGAGCATATGACTCCATTCATTGTCTTTTAATTTACTAATTTATTTTATTTTATGTTATTAAAAAAATGAAAAGAGGATATTCCATTCAAGATCTTGGAGCATTAATTACGGCTCAAATAGGGATTTATACTAAATCTCAAAACATGTTATTTTATAGATAATACATACATCGTTCAATTCATCCAAATCAGGGATTGAAAGAAATTTAAAAAAAAAAAAAAATCTAAAGAAAATTAATAATCCAATTTTTTTTCGAATTTTTTTATTAAAATGACTAATAATCATTAATTTTTTTATAAACAATTATTATAAAATCATTAACAATTGAAATTTTTAAATAATCATATTTTTTAATTTTTAATGATTTTATAATATTTATTTATTACTTTACCTTTAAAAAATAGAAAAATACTGGTTTTTAAAAAATTATATTTTTACCTTTAAATTGACATGTGTCGCCACTCGATTGGTTAGATTTACTCAACTAATAAAAATTGATTAATTTAATAGAAAGAATTAATGAAGACACTATTCTGTATCAACATTCAACAATATAAAGTTTATTATGGTTAATATATAGATATAAAGGTTACAATGAAGTTTTCAAAATAATAAAAAGCACATAAAATTGATTAATTTAATGGAAAGAATTAATGAAGACACTATTTTGTACCAACATTCAACAGTATAAAGTTTATTCTAATTAATATATAGATAGAAAGGTTACAATGAAGTTTTCAAAATAATATAGAGCGCATGATGTATTTAACTCAATTATATATATATATATATATATATATATCATATATTTACAAGTTTCAAATACAAAAATAAACATTTTTTTTTTTTTTTGCACATAAAGTTTAAATGTAAGATTTTTACACATTATATTTGACAATCAAAATTATGTACTAAAGAAATTATTTTTCTTTCGAGCTTTAACATAATTAAATTTAATATTTCATGCTGAAATGAGTAAAACTTGGGATCAATGCAAACTATAGCATTATACACTCAACTCTATCTTTGCCCACTCTACAATTTTGTTTAGCAATACGGTCATTGTTTGTAGATGACTATAGCAATGGTGGTGATGTGTGCTTCGTATTAATCAAAGAGTTTGTAGTCTAATGGTAATAGTTTCTTATAAAAGGTTTATAGGTTCAATCCTTAACAAATTAATTATGCTAAAAATCTTGGATATGTAATTTTTTTTTAAAAAAAATGCTTTTGTAGTGGAACACAAGTATAGTACTCTTATAAAAAGACTTGTCTTTTATTTTATTTTTATGGGCTACCACAAATAATGTAGATTCATAATCATATTACATGTTTTTTTCTTTTCACTTTTAAGATGGTACTGATAAGGATAACTATCTAGAGTCCTATAGTTATTATAGTTTGGCATTCTCGTATAACTAAAACTCTGTTGTAGAGCTTATCTATATCCCTATAATATTAGCTTCCTTTTAAGACTACAAGACTATGCAGAGCTTATCTACAACTCACATCAGCATGTATATACATACTTTGTAATCCCGTTTTACATGTAAGTGAATAAAGAGAATTAATAGCTCTTTCATGGTATCGAGCCTTTAGTGACTTAACCATCTAGACCCTCATTCTTCTTCTTCTTTTTTTTTTTTTTTTTTTTTTTTTTTTTTTTTTTTTACTATTGCATTCTCCATCTTGTAGCACCCCTTTGCACCATGTCCGGAATTTCACAATCCGAAACTTCTCAATCTAGCGACTCGACCGTAACAGGTCCCTCCATCCTAAACTCACCATCTCTTCCTAACCTACATACACATTCCCTACTAAAACTGCACCCCAACAAACTTTATTCTCTGGAAAACGCAACTCCATCCCCTTCTTCCTTGCCATGGATTGATGCACAATATTAATGGCACCCGTGTAACTCCTATTGCAACCATCAATGAAAAACCTTTTCAGCTTCATAATCATTTTTTTAATCTTAATGATATCTTACATGTTCCTAGCAGTACTTAGAATATCTTGTTAGTGAGTAGTTTTACAAAAAATAATTCATGTTCTATTGAGTTTTTCCCTAACAAATTTTTGGTAAAGGACTTGGATTCACAGGAACTTCTCCACGAAGGGCCAATTGATAATAGGCTCTACACTTTTTCCATGCAACATCTGTTAGGTCATCATTCTCCATCCAAGCTCATCATGCCACTTTGGCAACTTGTCATGCTCGCCTTAGCCATGCCTCTTTCAAGATGGTCAAACAAGTTTTGCATGATATTAAATTTGTAGCTCTTTTGCCCACATAACCTTCATTACGTCAAGCATGTTCACTTAGTAAAATTCATAAATTACCTTTTCCTTTGTCTAGTTATATAGCTAAAGTACCTCTAGAATTAATTTGTTTGGATCTTTGGGGACCATCCCCTCACCTTTACGTGGGTCGTTATTCTTATTATGTTCTCTTTTATGATCATTATAGCAAGTATAGTTGGTTATTTTTTCTTAGATACAAATCAAAAGTACTTAGTTGTTTTATCAAGTTTAAACATGTAGAAAAGTTTTTTGACAAATCAATTAAGCAATTTCAGTCTGATTGGGGAGAAGAGTATCGGGTCTGAACTAAATACGTAAATAATAATGGAATTTCTCAAAGAAGTGCATGTCCCAAAACACCGGAACAAAATAGATGTGCTCGAGCATAAATACCATCACATAGTCAAAACCAACTTAGCACTCTCGCACCATTCCTCCGTTCCATTATAGTATTGTACTTATGCCTTTGATACCGCAATTTACATAATCATCCACCTCCCCACACCCACATTAAACAAAAACTCTCCTTACTCCACC